GAAAGGTCGCCTCTTCAACAAAGAGAATGAAAGGTTAATGAATACATATAGCATTTAAGGCTAGGTAGATATACATCAACTCAACAACTAAATGAGGAAGCATGCAAATCTTCATTGATTTTTAGGTGTAAAAGCAGACAATCAACCAATGCGGTGCGTAACGTATGCGAATAATATGCGAAGCACTTTCGATTTTGATATGCGGTGCAGACAATCAATCAATGTGGACCATATGGATATACGAAAAAAATGGCAGATAGTCGTAAATTATGCGGCTTTCGATTTGGATATACGATTCGTTAATTATGCAGTTGAAGACTAGGCGAATCATCCCAGTTGTGCGATTATTATGGGATATGATATGGGAATCGCACAATCAACCCAATTGTGCGATTATTATGGGACATGTTATGCGAATCACACAATGAACCTAATTGTGCGACTATTATGTTGCATGTTATGCGAATCGCACAATCAACCTAATTGTGCGATTATTATGGGGACATGTTATGCGAAACGTGCAATCAACTCAATTGTGCGATTATTATAGGACATGTGCGATGTGTACGGGTCAACCCAATTCCGTTTTCGACAATTGTACCTGTATTACGAACATTTGCTTCTCATTAACCTCTTTGTCTTCGTCGCCTGACTCACCATTGTGCGTGTTTGTTTGGTCATCATTATTGTCATCGTCACGAGAATGACCTGGTTGGTTCGAACAACCCGAGGTTTGATCATCAGCGCCCCGAGGATATCCAGTATGTGTAAATGAACTAGGGTCTGCTTGATGTGAATATGGGGCCTCGTGGGAAAATGCAGAACTACCAACACCAAAAGAACTCGGAAATACACCTTGGGACGCCATCATTTGCGTGAAGCTTTGTTTCACCGTCCCCGGAATCCCTACATTTACTCGCTTCTCCAACTCCACGTAAATGTTGGGATTTCTTTGTTCTTTAATCAGCTCTAAGATATCCTCACTGGATTCGATTTTCATCTTTACAACTCATTCACTTCCATCAAATACTGCCCACAATATGTACTCAAAATTACAAGGATCGGCCTTCAATAATGCTTGAGCACGAGAAACTACTTCAGAATATATTTGTCGGCCGTAATTTATTCTCATCAGCTCTGCCACTCCACCAAGATATGAACCCTCGCAAAACGAACCACCAAAGTGCACCAATACTCTAACACGGTTGCTAGCCATTCAAATAAGTGAACAACAAAAAGAACTAAAAAAAAGAAACAGAAAAATGCAGTAGATGAATGGTGCAGGCGTTAAATTGTTAGAGATCACTGTTTTCTTGCCTGCATCATACTTGCAGAGACCAAATCCTCACCTGTGAAAAAGCAGTCAATTAATGAGGTGCGCATATGCGAAAGATCTGCGAACGAATTTCGAATAGTCGTAAAATTGCTAGGTCGATATGGCCCTGCGAAAAAATGGCGCATAATCGTCAAAAAAAATATGCTTTATTCGATTTGGTTATGCGATTCTTAAATATGCGAGCGACAAAATTGTCACATAATTGTCAATTATCCAGAGGATATATGCGAAATTGTTTCGCATATTTAGTAAATTATGCGATTGACTTGGATATGCAATTACCAGAAAATGCGTATTCAACAAACTATGCGAATTAGATGCGAAATATTTTCGCAGTCATAAATTTGCAAGGTTGATATAGCCCTGTGAAAAGAAGGCGCATAATCATCGTAAATTATGCTGCAAATCGATTTGTATATGCGATTACTAAAAATGCGAAAGATGTTCGCACATTTATAAATTATGTGTTTGATGTGGATATGCGATTAAAAAAATGCGAAATGTTTACGCATAGTCATAAATTATGCGGCCGATTGGATATGCACTGGTTCTTTTGGACATGCGAGTGTAATATCGCATAGCATTTCGTGAGTTTTGGGGTGTAAAAGAAGTTATTTGATGGGGCGGTGTGAAAAAGAAAGAATAGATTTATAACGGGGTGAAAAATATTTTGACCCTTAAATATTTGTCATCTAGTTTTTACTTATTTATTTATTTATTTATTTATTTATTTTTATCAATAGTTGTAGGGTATTCACGCACAGGAACGACTTTTTTTTTTCCGAAACGATAGAGAATTTTATAGATCAAAACGCACAAATGTGCAAATTACAACTCCAAGCCGCAGCCAAAAGCTGAATAAAACTGAGAGAACAGGTCAGAAGACCTGTCTAAATCCGACACTAGCAACGCTAGAATCCAAAAACAAACAAAAACAAACTACCAAATTAACTTCTAAGCTCCCAACAGGAGAATCAACTAGCTCCCAACAGGAGAATCATTCGAGGCCAACGGCCCAAACCAAAAACACGATACCTACAAAACAAACAAAACACAGACCTGCGAAAAAACAAGAAACAAAAATAAACTAAAGAGCCCTTCCCAAACAGCATGACCAACCAGAGCCAACGGGACCAAGTCAAACCAAAGAGCATCCCAAAGCCAATAGGACCTGCTCCGAAACTGCCCAAACACCTACTCGGTGGCCTAGCGAAGGCGAGGACCAAACCCTGGAACAACACCTCACGTCCAACTCGAACCACAACCGAAACACCAATCCACTCGGGAACCGCCACTGAACCGAACCCTCTAAAACCACTAGAGAGCCCAAGTCCGACAGAGCCCAGAAACCCTCGAACCACAGAGCATGGAAACAAGGGAAGCAAAATGATGTCGGGACTACTGGCTCAGCCCCCGACACACCCGGACCGCCAAGATCCCCGCCCACGACCACGCCGTCCTGTCCAACGCCACTGGCCGGAGACGGAGCAATGGACGCCCTGCCCCAACACCAAAGACAGGGAGCAAAGCCGAGAAACACGGCGAAGCTCCGACCATCCAACGCCAACGCCGTCAAAAGACCGAGGCTACTCCCACCCAAATGAAACACACCCCAGCCACCACCACCGATGCCTGAGAAGCCATCGAGTTGAACTGAAATCGGCGCCGAAGCTCGAACGAAACCCGAAGCACACCCAAGCATAGAAGCAGAAGGAGGCACGAATTAATGGATGGGGGTCGGGTGGCCGATAGCCGGCCGTCGGCACCTGCTGAATCGCCGCTCAGGAAGGCGAACAGTGCTGATTTGCGGGGTTGACGAGCGAAGAAGAAGAAGGGGGTTAGGGTTAGCGAAGGGGGTGGGTTATACGCACAGGAACGACTTAATTGACATAAAATATTATTTGATTTATTAATATTTTTATTATGTAAAAAAATGTTTCATGTGCAAGTTAGAAATTAGAAGTAAAATAAAAAAATACTAAATTTAAATAATATTAAATTAAAAAAAAAAGGGGCCAGCCTGCCCTAGCCCGCGGGCCAAACGGGGAGGGCCAAATAGGCCCGCGATTGAACGAGCTGGCCAAGCAAAGGCCCAAGCCCGTCCATTTAAACGGGCGGACGGGCCAGCCCGCGGGCCACCGGCCCGTTTGACAGTGCTAGATATAGCATTGGCCAAACTTCGATATTCAGATTCAGCGCTGCTGCGAGAAACCACAGGTTGCTGTTTGGAACTCTAGCCAAGTAAATTGGGACCAAGAAAAATAAAATGGCCCCCTGTAGACCGTCTATCAACCACACAACCGGCCCAATCCGCATCAGTGTAAGCCTCAAGAACAAAGCGAGTGACAGGCTTGAAATGAAGACCAAGAGTAAGAGTGCCCTTTACATACCTCAAAAGATGCTTACAGGTGAGCCAATGATTCAAGGTTGGAGCTTGAAGAAACTGGCTCAGCTTATTAAAACCAAAGGAAAGGTATGGCCTAGTGACTGTGAGATACTGAAGAGCACCAACTACACTTCTGTATATAGTTGGATCTGAAAAGGGAGCACTGTCATTAAGATCAAGCTTGTGAGAGGGAGAGATAAGAGTGGACACCGGTTTGCAATGCACCAAGTTAGTCTTGACCAACAAATCCAAAGCATACTTAGATTGATTGAGAAGAAAACCATCTGAAGTTCTAAGAGCCTCAAAACCCCAAAAATGATTAACTTCGCCCATTGTTTTCAGGGCAAATTGATTTCCAAGTTTTGTAATGAGATTTTGCATAGAAACAGCACTATCACCATTGATTAGAATTTCATCTACATAGACCAAGACAAGAAGAAGATCACTGTTTGTCCTTTTAAAAAATAAGGAGAAGTCAGAAATAGATTCTTTAAACTCCAGGGATAGCAAAAAGCATTTGAGTTTATTAAACCAAGCACGAGGGGCTTGCTTAAGTCCATAAAGAGACTTAGTAAGTTTGCAAACAGCAGAGGGGCGACAAGGATCAACAAAACCAGTTGGTTGAGCCATATCCACAGTCTCATGTAAATCCTTATTCACAAAGGCATTGTTAATGTCAATTTGTTGAATAGACCAAGAGCGAGTAACTGCAAGTGTAAAGACCAACCTAATAGTGTAAGGCTTCACCAAAAGACTAAAGGTTTCCAAAAAATCAACCCTAGCAGTCTGCTCAAAGCCGGTTGCAACCAACTAAGCTTTAAATTTGTCCACAGTGCCATCCAACTTATACTTTGTTCTAAAAACCCACTTGTTGGAAATAACTTTCATATCAGGAGAGGGATCCACCAAAGTCCAAGTATTGTTGGTCATCAAAGCATTATACTCACTTTTCATGGCAGCAAACCACTCAGGTCTTGATAAAGCCTCAGTTGGAGAAGTAGGCTATAGTAAAGGAGAGGGAACAAGATGAGCTGCATAGGTTTTAGGCTTAAATGTGCCAACCTTTGATCTAGTAACCATGGGATGAGCATTTTGAGAGGGAGGAATAGTAGAGACTGAAGGAGGAGACTGAGGAATGGGAAGATCCACAAATAGAGGGATAGTGGAGTTTGTGGAGGAATGAAGAGGCTGAGGAGTTGGAACATCCTTTGAAGAAGAGGAAGAAGGGGAGGAATGTAAAGGAGCTGTACTTGAAGAAGGAGAAGACAAAGTATGAAAGGAAGGTTGCAAATCAAAAATAGAAAGAAAGGGAGAGGGCAACAATGGAGGAGGTAAAGCAACCACAAAGTTAGAAGAAAAAAGGATTTGATAAGGAAACTCAGTTTCATTGAATGCAACAATTATGGCAATGTAGGTTCTGCCTTGAGGACTGAGGCAAATATAGCCTTTGTGATGAAGGCTGTAGCCAAGAAAAATACACTTGGCACTTCTAAACTGAAATTTATTTGAGTTGTATGGCCTCAAGTAGGAAAAACATGCACAACCAAAGGATTTTAGGAAGTGAAGACCAGGTTTGGAGTGGAAAAGAGCTTCAAAAGGAGAAGAGTTTGAAAGGACTGGGGTGGGAAGTCTATTAATGGTGAAAACAACAGCACTAAATGCATGCCACCAAAACTTAAGAGGTAATTGAGATTGAGCTAACAAGGATAGCCCCATTTCAACAATATGCAAATGCTTCCTTTCTGCTTTACCATTTTGGTGATGAATGTGAGGACAAGGGTGCCTAAAATTGATGCGAAGGTTATTTAAGATGGGAACCAAGGATCTATACTCACCCCCAATCAGATTGAAGACACTTAATAGTACAGTTAAACTGAGTGTGAACAAATTGACTGAAAATTTGAAAAATAGAAGCAACTTCAGCGTTGGACTTTAAGGGAAATATCCAAGTAAACCTAGTGAAATCGTCCATAAAATGAACATAATACTTGAATCCATCAATAGACATTCCATGAGAGGGTCCCACACATCTGAGTGCACTAGTTCAAAAGGAAAAGTAGTTTTAGTGGGATAAGAAGCAAAATGCAGTTGATGAAGTTTTCCCATCTTACAAGCCTCACAGAAGGGCAAATTGTCACTAACATCAATATTAAAACCTTGCATAGCATGTCTAAACACATTAGAACAAAAATGATCAGGTTTTCTATGCCATACAGTAAGAACATCAGTATTGGAAACAAATGACTGAGAAGAAGAAAAAGAACAAGGAATAGATGCAGGAGAATCCAAATGATAAAAGAGAGAAGCACTCTTGGAAAAGTCTAGCTGGTAGAGCCTATCCTTAAGCACTCCTTCCAGCAGCACTTTGTGAGAAGTCTTGTCCTTCACAAGACAACAAGTAGAATGGAATTCATAACAATATTGTTATCTTTGGTATGCTGAGAAATGCTCAATAAATTTTTTGTGATATTGGGAACAAGAAGCACATGATTGAGTAGAAGAGGGTATTGATGAGCAGTAGACAAGGATGAGGAGCCAACATGAGAAATATCAAGGTTAGAGCCATTACCAACTAAGACCTTATCAGTACCTTGATAAGGTGCTGCTTGAAGAGAAAGGTCCTCAAACTTTGAGGTCAAGTGATTTGTGGCCCCACTGTCAGCCTTACCACAAAGTTGACAAATCAGTCTGTCACTGTTCTTAAAAAACCGGCCACGGCCACGACCACGGCCACGGCCTCTGTTCTAACCATGAAAAGGAGTAAAGCCACCACGAGATTGCACAAAATTAGCCGAGTAAACATTCTCAGACATAGGTGCAGAAGTAGATGCAGAGAGAGCCAAAGGAGCAGATGTAGCCTGACTAGATAATCGTATCTCATGAGTTTGGAGAGAAAACTGAACTTCAGGTAAAGAGATCGAATCCAAACGAGAAGCCAAATTAACAACAACAGCCTCATAATCAGCACTTAAGCCGCCTAGAACATACATAGCAAGTTCATCATCGGCAATAGAGTGGCCAACAGACTGTAACTCATCAGCAAGGGCACGCATTTTCAGAATGTAATCATCAAAAGAGGGGTCTCCTCTCTTAAGACTTTGCAACTGAAAATTGAGATGTAAAACGCGTGCCTTAGAGTGCGTATGGAAAAGTTGTAACAAAATCGACCAAACCTCAGTGGAGGAAGAACAACGAGTAACATGACCAAGCATGGATTCGGCCATGGAAGCTAGCAGCCAGCTCAGAAGCAACTGATCAGTGCGAAGCCACTTGGAGTACAGCGGATTGATCATGGACAAGGAATCACCAGTGGAATCAGCAAGGAAACGCGATGGAGGAGATGGATTGAGCAGGAAATCCTCAAGTCCATGTGCGCGAACTGTGAAGAGAACCAGCAACTTCCAATAGGAGAAATTCGAGCGATCCAAGCGAAGTGGCAGAGGAACTAGATGTGGAAACGATGCCGCCGCGACCAGCGATGAATCAGCCATGGCAAATCGCCGTAAAAGAGATCGAGCAGGCTAGGGTTCAACTGACTCGTGATACTATGTTAGAGAAGGTAGAGAGAGAGAGAGAGAAATTGAGCTAAGAGATACAATAGAAAACTCAATTCATTGATTATGCTTTCTGAGTACAGATGAGTACATATATGAGATCAGCTCATTAATTACGAGCGTAACTAGAATTAGTTAAAAACTAACTCTATTGCTAACTAACTCCATGCACATGCATTTAACTAACTAACTAGGGTTAATCTAATATTCTTTATATAGCAACCATTACTTACTATGAGTCAGATCAGGAACATTCTCATGCATCCATGCCCAGTTTGAAAGAACTTTGTTCATTTTACATGTTGGCTTAAGAGTTCCATTGACATTGTATTCAATGTATTGGTGGCTGCAATTTTGGTGCTAAAGTGGCTCTACCGGCTGGTTATCGCACTGTTATTATGGAATTTTTTCGAGTGAAAATAACTTAATTATAGTTAGGATATAATTGTAGTTTGATCAATGCAATATAGTTAGGAGATAATTATAGTTAATTATACTTATTCTATCCATGACATGTTTTGATCCTAGAAACTCATTTTCTGCATAGAACAAAAGCTACATAGCCTTGCAAAGTTCTGTTGTTGATTTGTATGACCCTGGAAATGAACTTGAGAACTTCAACTTCTTGTGTGGCTTAGATAAAACACTCTCGAATGTGGGAAATATTGATATGAAAAGACAACGTTTTTTCATTAATTTATTTGTTGGTTAAATTGTCATTCATCTTACCCATTGCTATTGCTACCAAGACCTTTTTGGAGGCTCAATGTAGGCACCCGTTACTTGTACTTCGAAAATGTCTGATTTTCAGAAATAATTTCGAACATTTGAAAACAAATTAATTTTTGAAAATTGGTCTTAGGGTACTTACTAAAAACTGTTGCTTCTTACTTACTTATCTTAAACTAAGTCTTTCACTTAGGTTCTCGGGACATCTTGATTCCCAAAACTTATTATCTGTTAAATTCAATTTAGACAAAGCAGAGTGATTGATACTAGTCTTTAACTTGATGGAAATGTTGAATCTGAAACATCCAAACAAGTTAAAGATATCTGAATAATGACATGTTCAAAAAACGTTTTAGCGTAAGCCATAAAACTCCAATTCTTAACAATGACTTTTTTTCTTCTCTTGGTGTGTTCTTACGTTAAGCTTGTATCCGCTATTTATAGTTCTTATAAGACTAGCTTTCATTCCATGAAGAGGAGAGACATTAATTTCTCCTTCATGAATGATCAAGTAAATAACTCGAACGTAAGAATTATTAACACAATTCTTTGAAATCATCCCTCAATTGAAGTTCAGTTAGAACATTATAAAATTAATATTACCCATTACTTACAACATTAAACACACCATCTAAGAATTCTCAAACGAGAACCTTATTATAATAAGAGCAATAAAAAATCCCAATTCACCACTTCGATCTCGATTTTGCTTCTTCGGCCTTTGTTAATTCTAGCCGGTTGAAGTGCCTTCAGCGGTCGTCCGGGATCGTTGGTGGACGCCCTCCACCGCTCATCCATGGTTGCAACGCTTTCGTCTCCTGTTTGAAGCTACTGGGTACGGGCTAGGTTTGGGTGGATTCTTCTTTCTGCACGATGGCCGTCGGTGTTCAGAGGTGTTGGGGCTTAGCGGGGTGGTGGCTTTGTGTGTGGGTGAGGCTTGATTCGCTTGAGTCGGCTTTGGTCAGAGCGTCTCATCTCGCCAAGCTTGGAGGTCAGCCCTGTTGTGGATCTTCGGTTTCTAACGGGATCCGGTCGCTGGCACCTGGGTTGTGCATGAGTGTTGGGTTGGGGTTCGTCATTGCGGGTTGAGAGGCCGACCGTTTCCAGAGTTGGCTAGTGGTGATAGGCGGTTTTGGGACGGTGTCAGATTGACTAGTGGTGTTAGTCGATTGGGGGGGGGCGATTGTGGTTTCTTGCGGCTGGTATGCGGGTTGGTTTTTCGGATTGTTCTGAGGCTTGGGTCTCCGTCTTTGCTAGGCCATGGGCAATGGCGGGCGAGGTTTCAATGCTTCGGAGCTCTCCTCGGAATCGACTTTGTCTGCTGTTCTTTTCGGATGTATCTGCTGAGGGAGGTTGTGTTTTAGTTTGTAGTTGTTTTTGTTTTAGGTGTGCTTAGTTTGTTTGGTTAGTCTTGTGTTTTTTGTTTGAGTAGTTGACCTTTGTACTGCCCGAGTGTCAACTTATTATCCTGTTGGGATCGAAAACTCGGGTATTATCCTGGTGGGATCGTTTTTAGTAGTTTCTGTTTTAGTTTGTTTAGTGTAGTTGAGAGTGTTGTTTTTCTAGCTTTGCTAGTATCGAGTTTCTAGGCGGTCTTATGACCTATGTCCTCCCACTTTTTCAGCTCTTGGCTGTTCAATTCAGCTAGGGGTTGTGTATTCGCACATTTGTGCATTTCGATTTATAATATTTCTATCGTTTCGAAAAAAAATCTAAGAATTCTTACACAAACACAATTTCTCTTGTCACATGTGATGTTAATTACAACAAATACACAATTCTTTATCACGTTAGCGCGTCGTTCTCGCAAAATCTTGACCCCCACTTAACACTTATTCTACTACACATATAATTGTTAAATATATGATGAAATCGTCATATCATGTTGATGAATAGAATATACTACGAAATCTTGTTACCGTTTATAACTACTTGCTGCAATTTCCTTTTTGGTACAATACGAATCCAACGTCGCAAATCAAAGAACATTATACCCCTTTTAACCTGTCCGGTGAAATAGGAAATGAAAAAATCTCATAATTTGCCTTTTCAGGCCACTTTCTTCCTTTTTTCTTCGGTTCAACTCTTTCTCATTTGATTCTGTCTCGACTAATATATTTTCAATTTTTCACCTCATTGTTGGAGCACATCTGCACATGCATGCACAAGGAGGAGGCTTATTGGGCCCTCAAGGAACAAGTTTGGATAGGATTACATCAATAATTAATATGGATTAAGGATCACACATGTAAATATATATGCGGAGAAGATGGGGACAGGACAAGATCTTGGTAACAATTAAGGCCAAGTTCAAGGATCCAACTTTTAGTGTTCATCCAGCTTTACGTTTAGTGGAGGTAGTTAATCTGTCAATTGAGATATAATATTCACGTTATATCATAATTATAATCATTCTTTCACGTCCATATATATATGCTTAATTAATTATTTGGGTTTTATTAATCAATCCCTACCGACATGTTATATATCGCTATCTGAATCGCCTTTGCAATGAAATTCATGTTTTGTTATAATCATTCTTTAATTATTTATGTAGTACTAACTAATTTATTCTCTAATTTCTTCTGAAAGGGAAACCCGGGACCATACCCGTCCTTAACTGTGCAGGCTCACAGGAAGCATTTTGTTAACTACAATATAATTTTCAGTTATATAGTAGTTGTATTATGTATTGTAGAGTTAGATTAGATTAAGTTCCGACACAAGGGAAGCTCGTCTTTTGTTTTTATATACATGCACATATCTTTGTGATTGATACATCAGATATTTTTCCAACATTCTCACATGGTATCAGATTAAATTTTGAATCCAAATAGGCTTGTGTCGCTCGTCTCCGGTCGTCGCCGACTCTCCCCTCCCACACCATCCTCTGGCGAACGTTTGTCGAAAATTTTAGGCCGGAAGTCGGCGTGTGGGGCCCACACGCGCTGGATCATTGAGACAACGCCGACAACTTCAACCGGCGCGTGTGCTTCACCTCCTTCTCCGATCGCCGCCGTTTTTCAGCCGTCGAATCCTATTATAGTCAGCTACGTCCTGTTGTAATTGGTTTTAGTTTTCATGACGTTTTTAATTTCTGCTCGTATTGATATTTTGACGGTTTCGTGATCCGATCGTGCCTATATTTTCATCTGTTTCGTGATATTGTGTTGATTTAATTTTTGGATATGGATAGTATAAATGTGCATTCTCCTATTAATGTTGTCTTATCAGGGGATAATTATAGTCTTTGGGCACAGTCTATGAAGAGTTTTTTTAACTGGGAGAAAATTATGGCGGATTGTGACTGGTGATTTGTTGCCACCTCTGCATCCGTCTCTTTCAGGGGATCCCAACCCCACACCATAGGCTCTTACAACTTAAGTCGATGAGTTGAAGGATCGGGATAGTAAGAACCATTAGATTCTTACTTGGTTACGTCATACTCCAGTCCCCGCTATTCAGGTGCAACTTGCCCCGTTTGACAGTGCAAATGAGGCTTGAAATTTTTTGGATGCTCGATTTCAGACTACAGGCTTGGCTCACATTTATCAGCTTTGGAGCACCTTGCATTCCACCAAGAAGCAACTGGGTCAATCGGTCAATGAGTTTCTTGCACAAGTTCAACCTATCCGGTATCGTCTCCGACAGACTGAGATTAGTTCAGATCACCTTGATCTTTTTCAGATTTTGATGGCTCTTCGTCCGAAGTATGAAGTTGTTCGTGCTTCTCTCTTACAGCTTCGTCCACTGCGTACTCTTGATGCTGCTATTCAAGAGATCACTTTTGAGGAGACTCGTCTTCAGTTGGCCAGGACACCACAACTTGAGTCCGCATTAGTTGTGCCTACTTCTGCTTCTGCTCTGTTACATCAGCCTCAACCACAAGTCTCTGTTTATTGTAGGCGTTGCAAGTGCTCTGGTTACCCTTTTGCCACTTGTCCTAAAGGAGAGTGCCACATCTGCCATGCTCGGGGTCATATTGCTCCGAATTGTCCAGCCAAGTCCCAACGTTTGGAAGGTTCATTTTCTCGATTTCGAGGGTCTCGTGGGTCTTCTTCATCGAACCCTTCTTCAGTTACAACGGTTGTGACTAATGAGCCTCAACACTCGTCTTACAAGATTATTCCTTCTTTTATAATAGTATAGATATAAATATAGATAAATAGATAAATATTAGATATAAATTATACATTTGATTTTCGGTAATTGTTCAAAAATTTGACCATGTGTCTGAACAATGACGGATCTGTATTGGGCCAGACCCCGTGTTTATTTTTTTAAATCATTAATATATATGTGTGTGTGTGTATGTAAAGAAAATACTACAAAAATTAAATATATATATATGCATATAGAAAGAAAATACTATAAAATATTTACATAAATGTAAAAAAATTTACAATATATTATTAAAATTTATGTTCTATGTTGTTTTAATTTAAATTATTAATGTAATTTTTTAGGGAAAAATGTACTAACAAGCCTTATAATTTACATTTCTTGATAAAATTTTGAAATTCATCCTCTTAATTGTAAATCGAATTCGTAATTTATAAAACTCAGTATTTAGTTGGACTGTTACATTTTCTAATGTTGATTTTTTAATTTTTTTCTGTGTAATCACATATTTTTAAATTTATTTATTTTCTTCTTAAAAAATGTTAATTTAATATACTCTCATCAACAAAAATGCGATGTAATGTGCTGAATACTTTCAATTTAAAGTGTTTTCTCAATAATAATAAAAAAGAAACTTATATTTTCATAAACTATAGATGTTGAACTTAAGTTGTAAAATATAAATACACGAAATCTCATATATATTTTTTTTCTTTATTTTTTAAAAGTTTGAGGGTGATACGGATATCTAAGTTTTGAAAAACTTGATGGTACATATATCGATATTTATATTTATAGTAAATACATTTTTATATGAAACGATCATTTCGACTTAAATTGCAAGCTCGCTATAACATTTAAAACGGGCTCCCTGAGTGAAATTCCTAAATTTGTCACTGTGTGTGAAGTGCATGCAATTAACTCTATTTTTCTTTTCTACACAACCTCTTTTCTTTCTTTTACAACATTTTGGCCACAAGTGGGGGTACAAAACGAATTATGAATAACAAGAGGAGAATTTGTTCTTAAAATCTTCATATGTTGTGGGGCAATTGAGGATAATATTCAAAGTTGTGAACCAAAGGAGCAAAATGAGCTGAAGCCAGTCCAGGGTTGGCTCTTCCATTCTGGGCATTTAATGCTTCAAATGCCGTTGGTCTCTGCAAATATAAAAAATTGTGTATCAGAATTAGTTATTTTCAGTTACAAATACTCCTTCGACTTTTGATAGATAAACAACCTACGGATGTAGTAATTTTCAAGGTTTGTGCAAGGGCTAATTAACCTGCATTGACTCCGAAGTATTTGAATCTGAACTGAAATCGTAAAACGCGCTTGCTGCCGTGAGCTTCATCGAAAGGAACTGAAATATAATCAAAAAAAATCTATCAAGCTCTGATTCACCTGATGAGAGCAAGATCTTCATTTTTAGTTATTAATTATAAAAACGGCAACAGAAAATCTCACCTATTTTCTATTTGTAATAGGCAAAACTACTCGTGATATCACGACCTTTATCGAAATTGCAATTTAATTGTGACTTTTTTTACTTTTGCAGATTATATCACAATATGTAATTGGTTGCAAGTTGGCGCACGGGTTCTGAAAATAGTCGTAGAAAAGCTGATGTGGTCGAACAACAAACTTAACAAGATGATATAGTTGTTTGCAAGGATTATGCAAATCGGTGCACCGATTTACAATAAACTGAAGATTGTGATATGATTTGCAAAATTGAACAGGCCGTGATTAAATTACAATTTCAAAAAACCGGGCAATTTTGCCTTTGTAATAAAGATTACACATATCACTTGACACTTGTTTCTATTTTACCAATTACATGAACTTCTCACCTCCACTTGATTTTGCAGGGACTGCACATAGTTGATGATCTCATCCAACATTACTGCCATCCCCATTGTCTGTTCAT